CAGCCGAGTTATCCGGCCTGATGTTCGAGACCGGTATTTCAAATTTGAGTACCACAAGTACTCCAAAATATGTTCAGAGTACAATGAAGTCCATGACATGGCATGGTCTCTTAAATATTTCGCTTACTTCAATAACAGTTTTTATTGCTGTGGTATTTTGCGTTCGGTATTACCGAACGGTGATGGCGTTTCTCAGTTGTTTTCTAGATTGTTGCCGCCCGCGCTTGCGCCGGCAGTATGATTTCCAGCCTCGACGGCAGGAAACGAACGCGGTCACCGCAACCGCTACGGAACACCCGGACAGGAACTTGTCTCGAGATATGCCCACACGGACGGTGGATATACCCATGACGCCGCGTTGCCGTCCTTTGGACACCGTCCGACAGGATCCCGTCTACGCCAATGCACGTACGACCGCCGAGGACTCGGATGGATCAACAATCGGCGTCCGGACTCCCTCTCCGGAGCACACGGTTGGAACCCGGATGGAACCGACGGTGACATTTGGAATGTGTTGATGGAACAACGCGGAAGTTGGCACCCGTTTGCTACGGAACTCCACCGACCGTGAGCAGCATAGAACCGCTTAGCATTAGCTTTGTTTTACCGCTCATGTAAAGTCAGTCAGCAAATAAATTAAAAACTTTTTAAAAAGAAAGATTTATTGAAAATTTCAGAAATATTGTATTTTATTTTGTTTGTTCTTCTAATTTGCTTAAGTAATTAAAATTAAGTCAGGTTCTTGCTTGTATTTTATCAGATTTAAAATGGTCAGGATCAAGTACTAAAATTTCCCAATAAAAAGGATAATTTTTTTTCGGAGAAACTTTATCAAAAATATTGTTCAGGAAATTTCCTTCGATAATTGTCAGATTTTATTTCGAGTTTTAAAAAAAGGTTCGTGAAGGTAGAACCGGTTCTATCCCCGGGAACCCAGTTATATTAGGCTCGCTACCTGAAGCTTTAGGTCGCCGATTTTTTATCAGTTACTACCGCGTTACAAAAAACAGTGAATGATCAGATCAAACGACCTGCATTACAACCATGGTTAGCGCATGGTGTTTGTAGGAATAGACTGAGATCGAAATTTTCTGGGGCAAAGTTTGATATTGAAATTTAAAAATTTAAAATAGTTAACAGACAAGCTGGTGCAGCAGTTTGTTTGCACAGTGCCTACGCAAATGAAGAATCGCTCACCTTCTTCAAGAACTACCCTAAGTAACGCAGTCTAACATCGATGTACAAAACCTGTCTGAAACAGCAATACCATCTGGTGTAAAGTCTCTGATGAGAACCCGTCTGAAACAGCATAAATGTGGCTGTAATATCTCTGACCAAAACCTGTCAGTAACAGCATTTAAATCTGCTGTAGAAAAAAAACAGAACAGAATTCCGTACGGGATCGTGCACACGCGACTCGATCGCAGAATACGCAAAATTACCAGTCAGACACGAGTTTAGCATCGTAGACTGAATGCGCTAACGTTGCATTAAAAAGGGGAAAAGAGGCGTGTGTTTAGACAAGCGAGCGCACAATGTTTGAAACCAGTGACTTAAAATCTATAAATTAATTTTGTCGTATCGATTTTGCCTCAGAAAGTGAGATGTCTGTTTATTTGCGTGAATACGGTGTGGTGTTGTGGTTTTGGTGTATGGTTAACCGCTGATCAAAGTTCAAGTTCAAGTTCGACCGAATAATATCATCGACGGAACCGCATTCATTATAAAAATGAGTCAGGGAATGTAAAATCCAAAACATTTATAAAATGAAAACTTGGTTCAATCCGGTTTTCCATAAAAACGTTCCAGAAATAAAATTCAGATTATTCCGCTGTATTATCTGTATTTCTTCTAACCGTATCAAGTATAAATATTGTTTGCATATTATTACTTGCTATTTCGTGGATGTGTTTAGAAAATTTCAAAATGCAAAAATAGCTGCTTTATCGTATTGCTGGTTGACTGGCTTTTCTGTTTTTCTTATATTAGTTATGGACTGCGGACAGTCGTTTTTCCACGGAGAGAACTGTCACGTATAGATTTCTTTTAACGATATTCGCATGCGCTGGGCGATATGCCCGTACATGTTGTTATCTGATATACGAGTACCTTTCCACTTGTTGCTATCATATACCGCTGATTTTGCGCTTTTCTGACACAGTTACCGCCATACAGTCTGATTTCCTTCAACAACAATCCCTGACTTGCAGTTACCGTCTCGTTCGATGCCGTTTATGCATATTTCCGTAAACACAGCATATTAGGCTACAAAACCGGCCGGTCTTACACCACCGTGACCTTTCTGTTTATTTTGCTCTGGCATTTGTTTATGTAACAATACATTTATCTGCAGATCTGTACACTTGATAATTATATATCTGTACACTTGATAATTAAGCAGTAGTGCTTCCAATACCAAAAGTATTCCATAAAAAGTAATTTTTAGGCAATGTTGGGTCAGATTCTGTGTGCCGGTAACAACATTGAATAACTGAGTAGGTTTCATTCAGTTCGTAAAACAACCACTATGCATTATGCACTAATTAATGGACGCTGCGTGGACACGCTGGCGGCCTCGTATATCGACCGCACCTCCGTGAATGCCGGCGCAGCAGCCGAACTCGCGGAAAGGAAGAAACTTTCGAAACACGCCTGGCTGCAACCAAGATACGATTTTGTTGCCGCTGCCTTCGAAATTTACGGACCTTTGGGAGACGGAACAAAAAAGCTAGTGGAGAAGGTTGGAAACGGTATAGCGACTTCGACTGGCCAGAAGCGAGCGAAAGAGTTTTTTAGGCAGCGAATATCTATGCAAATACAACGGGGAAACGCGATTTGTGTAATGGGTACGCTCCCCTATCAGGATAGCATAGAGGAAGTTTTTCTGTTATAATGACGTTCTGTTTTGATACTAAATTTGTACTTGTACTACGATACTTATTAAAGGTTGCGTCACCATTAGTGGACCATCTCTACTGACGGCAATCCAACGGCGCACTAAGTGGGTGCGGTCAACCCAAAACAGGCAAGCAAGGTGGAAATAGTTATTATTGGTGGAGGTCAATTACATTTGGGTAACGGTTGCGCGTCGGGTAATGGAGAGACGCGTAAAAAATTAGCCATGACTCAGCAGAAAAACAATCGTCCAATCGTGAGTCGAGTACGCTTCCGTGCCAAGAAAGAAATTGAACACCGACGTGGAACTAAAAAACTCATTTTTAATGCTGTAATGTGGTAAATGTGGTTTTACGTCAAAAAAGTTAATTATGAGTTTTGGAATGTGACTCTGGGTCGTTGGATTTACTTTTGGTCCAAACACACACAAATTTTGTTGATCTGTGCAGGAGAGTTACGAGTTACTCGTAGTTTGGGTAATGGTTGCGCTTCGACGTCGAAGCGCAACGCTTACGCGGACAAGTAAGCTGAAAACCCATCCCAGATTTTGTGACGGCGAATCAGAATGTTTGCTTGGTTACGCGCTGTTACGTCACATTTTTTACGCGTTTTCTCGTTACCCGACGCGCAACGCTTACCCAAATGTAACTGACCTCCACCATTAGCTTCTAAAAATTTAGCATCGATAGCACGGCAAAATTGCGGTAACCGGTTACCGGTTAATTAGCTCCCGATTAGTGGTTATTTTCTTCCGATCGTTATTAACAGTAATACACATGAATTACAGTGAACACTATTTCACTAACAAGTTAAGAGTAAACCAGGGAACAATCCGCGAAGTATTACGGGTTTTTAGGAACCTAACAAAATATACAAAGGCAATATTCGCTCGTTTTGATAATTTGTTGCAGTACAGCAGATTTCTTTACTTAGAATGCAAACAAGTTATCATGTTGCTGATGTACATACGAGTATTGCCGATATATATCGACACCTGATGATCAGCATTGATAAAACAGTAACCTGCACTGTCTAGATACCGGGAATCAGTGGTGACTAATTACCCTCCCTTGATTTGCATAATTATTACTAAGTTTCGACATCTGCAACCTTTATCCTGTCGCAATCTAGCGGGCAGTTTGTCAGGGAGAAAAATGCTATAATACATACTCTGGGTAGTGTATAGTGAAATCCACCGAAAACATGAAACGTTTGCCGAAATGAAAGTTTTGCGCGGCGCTTCATGGCTTTTTTCTGCAATTTTTGTATGCTGCTCCCTTTCAAGCGGACACTTTAAAATTACCGGTGGGCAAAAGTTTAACTTCGACATTCGCCATTCTACATACGCAAGGGGTATTTCCGGTACACGTACTACCACCAATATGCAATCGTGTATGCGCATTAGATCTGAAAGTGTGTAACTGAAATTCGAAAATGTACCAGTGCAACCGACTAACCGAACTGAATATCGTTGGTTACTGGATATGCTCTGTATAAGGACTCGTACCATGTATATGTATGTATAATTTTTTAGAAACTGTAGTAACAGATCAGTACGTCAAGGAAAAAAAACCGAACTGATGCTGTTCACTTTTCTTAAACTTTTACGGTTGTCGATTATCTAACAGCAGTCCTACGAGTACCAGAAGCAATCCACGCGTAAAACATTTATACAAATGATAAGCCAACATTGGCACACCAGAACAAAAAGTTTTTTTTACGCGGGAGTATGAACATGCAATCTTTTAATTCCTAAAATGACATGATTGCAGTGATGCAGACTAGTTACTGGTAACAGTGGTAAGTGTACATACGTTGACCGGTTGACGCATACGGTTTCGTACATTACGATCAAACGCATGCCGCGCATTATTAATTTTTAAAACATAAAAACGGTATAAACTTCCACTGCCAGAAACTATGGTGTCATAACAAAAATATAGCCGGTAATACTCTTATTTACCCTGTGTACCACCGTTCGCTTTAACCGATAAGAATTTGAATATTTACATATTTTGTGAATGCGAGTGTGTCGCTTATCAACGATGGATTTATATTATTCTTCATTCTAAAGAGAACAACGCGTTCGTCGTTCAACCACAAGTCAGCACTAGTACTGCGTGAAAGATAAGGCAGAACTCAGCGCTGAAACCCTTTGCAGTGAATGGTTTTAACGCTGCGATCTGCAACAGGCCAAAACAACGCTGGGACTGGCAACATCACTGCAGGTTAGAATTGGATAACAAGAATTTGTCGTTATTTTGCTTAAGGTCTTCAGTTCAGTATTAAGTAATATTTGATAATAGTTAATTAAAAATTAAATGTCATTAATTTTAAAATATCGTTTCTGTTTTTATAGTCATAAATGGCTCAGCGTACTGATTAAATACTACAACTTTTAATAGGACAGTGATGTATTAATTATAATGATTGTAATACTGTACTTTGAAATCTTATAGTATTCAAGGTCCCAAGTGCCGCCAGCTAATTCTGCTCAGTTGTTTTGCTTTTGGAGATAACTGATAAATAATTCTCCTATTTGTTTATTTATCTGATTTCCATAAATTATGGTTTTTGGTTTTTTTCTTGTTCAGTACCTATTTTGTTTTGGTTCTGGAAAGTGCGTGTGCATGAGTTTGCGAACTTCCTGAGGATTATCACGCACATGATTACTTCCATACTTCCATTGTAATATTAGCGCTTTGGTGACCAGGTAGTACCAGTAGCAGCTGCAATTTGTCGACGCGCATTGTCAGCGGATCTTGACCAAACCAGAGATCTTCCGCTACTTTATGGAGCCAGGCATGATCTTTACGGACGATACTGCCATCTTGGGCTTCGACTGCATCCTCGCCACTGTCACCGAGAATGTCATCCACGACGGCTTTACGCATTATGCTCTCGGTCCTGGAGCATCATGCGAAATTCGGTGTGATCCAGCTACAGTTTCGAATTCGGCTGGTTGGCGGACTTTCCGTAACTGCATATGTAAATGTTTCCGTTTGGGCCAAACGGAAATATCTGCCCACGCAGTTTCTGGAAATTTCGCGGCTGATTTCCTGTGAAACGCTAAAGAACTCATTAATAGTGGACGGCTGCATGCAAGTAAGCATATTACTAGTTTAGTATATTGCAATATTTATTAAATATTTACGTATAATGTGTTCTGATACGTATATCCTATATATTAATAAAATAAGCCTTAGCGAATTCCATTTCTGTCACCCTTTTTTGAGCGATCCACTGAGCCAAACTTTGATGTCTATATGTCATTTAATAGCCGTGAGTTTGCAGATTTGCAGAAACCAGTCAGTTTTTTGAAAGTGTGTGAAGCTTTAGAGAAAATCCTAAAAGAACTTAACATACAAAGTCTACGGGAAGAGTGGAGAACCCACCACTGCAAACCCACCCAAGCCACCACTGTCACGAACAGCACAGGAAAAGACATCTACACTTGATGGAACTTTGGTGTCCATTAGTTATCGGACTTTGGTGTCCATTAGTTATCGGACTGCCTTTAGTTCATAAGATTTTTAATATTAGTTAGTTTTTAAAATATGTAGGCTCTGAAAGTTATGTTTCTTAAAGACTGAACATGCAAAATCTCCTGGAAAGTGGGAGCGACGCAAATTCCAAAGATAAAGTAGCTGCCTTCGCAACGGGTTGATTAGATGTATTATTGAAACTGCTTCCAAAGGGCGGTTGGCTTTTGTAATATCGAGCTGCTGACGTGCCAATAAAGTGGAATACTCTTTTTTCAAATCGCGAATAAACATTATTTTGTGAGAGACTGAAAGTCGATTTTGAGAATTTTGGTGTTCGACTGGAAATGATGTGGACTACTCGAGCAAAACAGTGAGTCCCAGTCCCACCGGGCGTACGCACTAGGATTCGAGTCTAACCGCCGCCCGGGGGAGAAAGCGGCCCAAGGCAAATCTTTTCACGGCGACTAAATGAGGAGCGCGCGAGCCTCCCGCAGGGGAAGGGATGGAAGGTTAAAATATTTTTCCGAAAGGCTAAGGAACGTAGACAAAAACGGTTTTATGAAAGCAAAAACCGCATTTTCAGCATTCAAAAATTTAAAATAAACAGAAGGATTTAAAAAGCGAAGCTTATCCGCATTCTAATCTATCTTTCCGCCAACTATAAAGACCACGTCAGATCATCTCCCATCAAAAGTCAAAACAAAAAAATTTGGAAATAAATACCCTCCCCGGTGCGCCTGGGTGCGACAAGCTACATTAATGAACCATCTGTGAGGACGTAAGCGTGAAGCGACAATGCGTTTAATGGGTTGGGGATGTTGTTGGCGTTTAATGGGTTGGGGATGCGACAATGCGTTGGGGATGTACTATACGAATGCATAGATTTTTGCCAAACTTGAAACAAATTATATAAGCCGTAACTTGAGACGTAAAAGAAAGCGGAATCATAGGCGGCGCCTATCTGCAGCGGTGGTCGCAAGCAAGACAGTGCGCTTAAGTTGTCGACGTTAATTAATAATAAAACATTCACCAAAGAACACAACGAAATTTTGAAGTCTTCATCAGGTTTAAATTGTTTGTGTGTAAACAGTTGGAGTAAACCGGAAACTGGAAAGTATTTTTATTCTAAGTGGTCTAAAGGTTAACATCGGTGGTCGCACGGTCGTATCACTGGATTGTTTTGTCGGGACGCACTGACTAAAATTTAACGAAGCTCCGAATGGTATCTGAACCAGTAGAAGTACTGCAATACGGCTACAAAAATTTCAGTAATTATGGAGTTTTTTTTATTTGTAGTTCTTGACAACTGACCGGCATATGCTGCTAATTGCGAGAAGCTTAAAAACTTTGTTATAACTGCAAACAAAAAGGACATATTCCTGGAAATTTTCAAATTTTTCGGGTCTAATGTAAGTTTAAATCTGAAGTCGGCGGAACGCGACAATTTTTTCTCAAAACGGCCTTAAACATTTAATTAGTAAACTGTGATACATTCTAACTGCTACCAATCTGTCAGTGAACTATGACCAAAGACCCAAAATAAAGAATTATTTACGACATTAGTTATGATAAGCATAACCAAACAGGTATTGGGCAGATACTGTTTGTCTCTGCCTATGAAACTAATCAAACTGTATTATTATTAATATTCTTATACGCTCCGCTCAATAAAACTAAATTTGCAGTCCTGGGTTTGTACTTTGTAGTTTTCCTAAATAAAAATTTATCGCCGATTTATTCCGCGCAGTTTGCGCGGGGTCTACTAGTATTGATTATTTTTCTACGATATTACATATGCTTTGAAGTACATGTAATACTTAATTAGCTTTGTTTATCAACAATGTTTAACTGAAACAAGAAAAATAATTATTTAACAGCGGTTACCGGTAAGTAATACTTATAACATAAAAAGGGCAACTACCGTATCAAACGGCTTGTGATAATTTATAGTGTGCACTAGTACATATAAGTTGAATGGTATATATAAGTATTTCTGTTAGTAGGCGCTACAGAATTAACAGTAAATTTTTATTAATTTTGCAGGAAAAAATCCCCGACAAGCTGGCGCTTGAAGCACCATGTCAAAGCATCAGAGCAGTTCGTAATCGAAGGAGCAACAGTCTGCGACGAACTGACAGTATTTCTGACACTGAAATGCCGTCTGTCGACCAGGAGAATGGCGTTCTAGTGGATACACGGTTGATTTCCGCCGCATGGCCACTTCCTTATACCTACGGCGCCGTTGAGTACATGATGAACTTCGTCCGGCTGCTCGGCACCCGGGCCAAGGTCAAAAAGAGGAAGGAATAATTAAAGGAAGGAAATATTTTTGGTCAAAAAGAGGAAGGAACAATTAAAGGAAGGAAATATTTTTGGTCAAAAAGAGGAAGGAATAAATAAAGGAAGGAAATTTCATGGTCAAAAAGAGGAAGGAATATTTAAAGAAAGGAATGTTTTTTTGACCAGAAAGGAAGAAAATTTCGATGGAAAAAAATTGAAGGAAATTTTTGTGGTCAAAAACGGAAAGAAATTTCGATTGTCAAAAACAAGAAAAATTTTCTCTGCAGTTAATGCGCTAAAATTTGTAAAAATAAAATTTGTAAAAAGTTTTGGGAATAAGGTACTTAAACGTTACTGTCCGTTTGATCAAGTGATGCTAGAATACCTAAGCGTTACAGCCAAACCTAATAATTTTACGATAAGAGTACGAACGGCGCAAACTGTTCTTACAGAATGTTTTAGAAGTCTGACGTTTAAATAATGATGCGGTCTTTCGATTATACTGTTATGATATTCAAATTTATGCTGCAAATTCAAAGTTTCAGTGTTAAACTAAAAGAAAGCAAAGTATGTTCACATAGATAAGTTAAAAGGCCACAAAATAAGCAACCGCAAAAGAAGTACTTAAGTAAATACAAAATTAGTAAGTGCATTTGACCACAAATTCCACAATATACGCTAAATAGCAGCCGAACAAATCAGGATCAAGGAGATATAAATTGTTGTCAAACCAACGAAAAATTAACTGCTGTCAAATAGTTCTCTCCGAAACTCTACGATAACTTTGAGTTATTAAAGTGTAAAATGTATTGTCAAGTTGTCAACTGAGGTGCCGGTGTCCGTTTGTTATAATCACAATGATAGATTCGTATGTACTCAACATCATCATTGTGAGCAGAAGGCTCCATACTTATTATTAGCTGTAGTTGCGTCACATTAATTAGCCATTAATTAGTCACATTAATTAGTCACATTAACTGGTTACATTAATTGGTATTAGCGAGAATTTGTCTAGAACCAGACATGGGCCAGGAGTTTGCTACCGGAACGTCAGACTACACCATGTGGCCATGGTGCTTTACTGAAATGAGTGAATGAGGAATAACGCATGGCAACATAATTTATAATATGCAAATTTTCTTACCCTGTCTGTCACTGCTTCTGATTTCACTGCATTCTGTAAAAAAGGCAGGCGCCTTACTGCTTACTCCTACTGATAAGTCACGTATCATTGCATGAACACAGAGTCGCAGACTAAAAAGTTACTAGTATAACCCCCGCGAAAACGGCGCAAAGCTCTTGTCTGTTGTGTGTTAACGCGCTGCGGTGTCCGTTCATTTCGGAAACCATTCATTTCAGAAATCGTATATTTCGAAATATTTCCTTCGGTTTTATTATACTTTCTTATGTTACTGTTCAAATGGCTCTTAGGTTTCTTGATTTTCAGTAGAACCTTAATTAAAAAACCTGATCATGAACTTAAGAAAATGATTTTCTTAAGTTCATGATCAGGTTTTTTAATAAAGGTTCTAATAAGGTGGTTTTCTTGGTATTTTTCAAATGTTTTCTTAGGTTTCTTAGGTCTTTTTAAGTTCTTAGGTTTCCTTAAGTTCTTAATTAGGTTTCTTAATTAGGGTTCGTAATTAGGTGGTTTTTTTAATGAGATGTTATTATTCAAATGTTTTCTTAGGTTTCTTGGGTTTTCTTATGTTCTTAATTAGGTTTCTTAATTACGTTTCGTAATTAGATGGTTTTCTTAGGTTTCCTTATGTTATTCTGGTTTTCTTAGGTTTCCCTATTTTTGTTAATTGTCTCTAAAGTTTTATTATATTTTTTTACGTTGTTACTCTTTTTTATGTGTTGTTATGTAATCTCATCTTTCTTTTGCTTTCTTTTCGAAATGTTTGGTTTCCGAAATGAACGGTTTCCGAAATTTTCTCATTTTTTTCCATCGAAATTTTCTTCCTTTTTGGTCAAAAAACATTCCTTCTTTTAAATATTCCTTCCTCTTTTTGACCATGAAATTTCCTTCCTTTATTTATTCCTTCATCTTTTTGACCAAAAAAATTTCCTTCCTTTAATTATTCCTTCCTCTTTTTGACCTTGGCCCGGCACCGGCATCATCGAGGGCGTGGCTAATGGGAACGTCTTTCTGAATTGCTCCATTATGTTGGTACGATTGAGAGAGAAGTTCCCAAAGGTACGCCAAGACCTTCCTTCCACAAGTCAGCTAACGACAGTTACTCCACTGTGCTCTCTGCGTCGGAGACGGTGATGTCGGCGCCGGTTATGCGGCTGATTACGCTACATCTCCATAATATTAGCTCCTGCTTCGCGTTAAGGCTTAAAGTAAAGTAGGAACTGATTTTGTGGAGCTTGCTGGTTTTCGGCCAGATGATGCTCTCCAGACGCAGCCTAGTGTTAATGAACCGGACAGTTTTGGAAAAACTGCGGAAATTTCTGAATGCAGCCATGGTGGATTAAGTAATGGCGCGGAATGTCTTGACGCGCTCATGGTGACGCCGACACCGTTGGCCGTCAAAAAAATCGTAAGGTGCAGAATTCTGCAGAATCTGCAATTCGTGAGGTTCATCTGTTGATCGCTTCATCCAGCTTCAAAGAAGCTGGATGAAGCGCTGAGGAGTTGCGTCAACGCGAATCAGGAGGTTGTCGTACTTGAGAAGCAGCTGGAATGTTTGATCTGATAACGACACAATACAAACATGGTCGTACAGTACTTATCGTTAATTACTCACATGCAGCATACGTTTGATATACATACATAATAGAATTAAGAGTGTGTTCGGCTACTTAAAAGTGTGCTCAGCTAAGTTATTCGATTGTTTAAATAATACTGTGAAACAATATTCATTTTTTTGTCCAGCCTCGGTAACCAGTAGTCGGAATTGATGTACTCGTAGCTTGGTGACCTATATGTACAACATACTTGGAAACGGTTTCAACGATTGTTGTTTAAATATCACTCGGAGACAACTGCAGTCGAAAGCCATCATAAGTTGGCAGGAACCGTGAGGCGGACACTCTTTGGGCCATCAATAACACCGTCATGGCCGCCACCATCCGGGACGATCTGGATAAACCGCTGGAACTGTTAACCGTCTACGAACGCCTATGACGAATTAGCGTTGAGCCCCTCTACAGATAAAACGGAGAAGTACATATTCTCTCCGAAGCTGCCGGGTATTACGCGAATGTGTTACACAATTTTTCCGTGTTTTTTACAGTTGGCGCCGTAACTTTGATGGAGCCATATGGATTATTCCCATGGCAGTATTCCGGAACCGGATCTGCGAACGGGACTGTATATGCGCGGGTATCTTCTTCAAAATAGTTTCCGACATTCGATTACGTTCTTAGAGGCTAGAGCTACGAACTGGTTTACTCAATTACAGATACAGTGGTTTGCCGACCATCTCCACCCGGGCAAAAGGCGGAAAGGATTCAAACGGACATTACGCAGCATAAAGAAAATTGCCATTTGGACTTCAAACCACATGCCATATGAAATTTAAGAGTCAAGTAGAGTCTACTTGAATTTCACGAAGACGACATAGAGATAATTGTGTAAATATATGGGGAATTCTGAATTTTTTCAGAAAGATATGTATCCCATAAATTACCGCTATTTAATTAAGTTTAATCTTCTTTCAATGCATTCTCGAAATTCATTTAGACATCTTTATATTTAATGCGAATTTACTTATTTTCACGATAGCAGTGCCTTCCTTACATAAAATTGTTATGGAAATGTGGAGTTAGAACTTTTATTGAATTAAGTACCTTTTTTGACGTTTGTGTTTGTAAAAATTTTATGATTATGTACAGTACGGTCGTACGTACCGGCAAAAGTACAATAATAAAAGTACAATAATAAATACATACATTTTATTCGGCTTCGGCCAGCATACATAACAAATCGCCTGCGCAGGTTTACACTAATACTAATTGTATGTATGTGTACGTGTATTTGCAGAATACTGTACGCAAGAGGCTTTAACAGGAGATACGCGATAATTAGCATCAGTTTAACGTTTACTATGTTCCTGTAAAATAAATCTCATATTTCGAAACCGATGTTATTAAGCCAAACTTGTGAAAAGCGCAAAAATCACATTTGATTTTTGTTTTTGCGAAACTTAAACTTAAAAAAAAAACAGCAACAGAAAGCCGAAAATAAATGATAATGTGCAACAACGTACAAGAGTTGGTGTTCATTCATAAACTGACCAATACGCGCGGTACTTATATAGAAGTTATAATATAACATTATCTATATTATAGATATTTTACTTAGAATTAATCGTAACTATCGTAACTATCCGAACGTGCATGGTAAAAAGTAACTCATTTATGAGTAAATAACAGAGAAGATGCTACAACCGCACAAAAGAACCGGAAAGCAGCTACGGTATGAGGGAATTGCGAGAAATTGTGCAAAAACTAATTAGAAATTGTTCGAATTAAATGAAGGCTTGCTTAGTGCCAACTCATACTTCTTTTGAACTTTTGGACGTACCACAGGGTGCGGTGGTCGGTCATGTGTAAGCAGATGCGCAGAACATAGCCCGGTTAAAGTGACGGACACGTGCGCTGTGGCCGGCACAGAACCCCAGAACCCGCAATGGCGCACACATGTTTCCAACAGGCGTGTCGGAACGCTCGATGTCCAAATGCTGGTGACCGGCAATTGCACTCACGGTCAGCTTGGAGGTGGCCGTCCCAATGATCGTCGTGGCGGTGTACTGGGTTTTCAGGTAGAAAGCCCATTAAACTGTTTAGCCTGTCCATGCTCGTGTTGGATTCTGCACCACCAGTTTATCCAGCTTGTCGATGTCGGTCGGTCATTGCCGTGGTTATGGTGTGGCACGGTGCACCGGGTGATGGCCGTCGTCGAGACCGTGGTAGGGGTGTCGTCCGGCGACCATTATACAAATCAGGAATTAACTTCCATCGATGTCGCCCGGGGACCATTATACAAATCAGGAATTATTTCCGTCCACCAGCACGACCTCCGCCTTGACCTGGCTTAAGTGATGAACGCCAGACTGCCGCTGATATTCAGCGTGACCTTTTCCCGTGCCAAACCTTGAACCGCCGTAGGGACTTGAACCTTTATACACTTCGTATCCCGACTGCTCCAAGGGACATTTGCTAGTCGGACACCTGCTAGTCGTGCATCAACGCCACTTTTGCTACTGCGTGGTGTTGATTCTTTTTTATATGCATCTTGCTGTTGGACCGGAAGTGCATCGTCATATGGAAGGCTGGTCCCGGTGCATGCGCCCCGTTATAAGAAGTTCCGGTGTGGGTGGGTATGCGCCTTCGCCCTCCTGAACGTCGGTATGAGCAGCGTGGACATCCGCCCGATCTTCCGCAAAACCGGCACGAGTTGGAGTAACGGGGTGGTCGCCACGAGTGCCGGTCGCGCAGTATCTGAAGTGTGGTTCGGGTGTTCCTGTCAGCCTGATGGAGACCGCGAAAAGAAGAGTGCCGTGTGGTGGTGATAATAATTTTAAGGCTTAAAAATTTATCATGATTTTCTTTGTAATCAGTAGTTTTCCTGAAACAACGAGCAATATTTCGCGGATAACTACGAGTACTCTTTCATTGCTTTACTGTAACTGTATGTAATTATTTTGCTAATGAAGTGATTTATGTGTGCATGTAATCGCACTATTCTTAATGACGGTCGAAGACAAGTAACCAATAACCGGTAACGAATTATAGCCGGCTACCGTAGTTTTGCGAAATTATGCAGTGGTTACTGTATTAAGCGGTAATGTAATTAATTTCTTTAATCGTTTTGAAAATTTTGCGCAGTACAGCAGCTTTATTAATTTTTGGAGAAAACGAGCTACGTATTACGTTGCCGATACATGTTGCATTTGCTCTGAGATGGAAAGTTATGGTTTTCAACAAATCGTGATGTAGCTGTTTAATTTTCAAAATCTTATACTGAAATTAAAACTGTATTACGTGAGTGTTGTATGCACCGTACGCTTGCAGTATCACAAAATCGATACTATTCGTACTTCCGGGTCATAGAGACTACAGTAATTGTTGGCCGTCTGCTTGCCATATGTACGTGTTGGAAATTATGGTCAGAATTGTTTACACGCAATGCCGGGTTGCCGGTACATTACAGAGGTACCGTTAATTACAGTGGAAAGCACGGTCTGCTTTCTGCTGAAATATTATAATTGGTAATTTTTGTTTCATGAGCCCAGTTTTGCTATGCCAGTGTGCTATGCTATTCGTTTACGACATAATAAATGAGAAAACATGCACATCATTCCTCAAGTTTAACTTTAATAACTATTGTCGACAATGAGTAGGGTTTGGCAGGCTGTCATAACCATATCTTTGGGTGCAATATACCTCTGCATAGGAATGTTTCACGTTGTTTCTTACAAATTCCCGTTTCCTGTGGACCAGCTCAACACTACCGGTTATTTAACACTGCCTAGCTGGGATACGATAGCTGATAAAGACAGCCCTGGACCTGACGTGCTGAAAACAGCTATCATCCCCGAGCAAGGCAACGAGTTTCCGGTACATATCGTGCGACTGTACAAGGATCCGCCCAACCGAGACTCGCATACCCTTTGCTGGACGCAATGCCTGAGTATCGCTTCCATAATTCTTTTTGTGCAGCCGGCCAAAATCTACCTTCACACCAATTATCCTGACCACTGGCCGTTTGCTGGCTGCTATATGATCACCAATTATTCCGTGATCGAGATTGTCTACACTCGTCAACGGTTCACCCTCAACGGGCGCCGCATTGAGAATATCTTTCACGAAGCCGATTTCGTCAAGTACAACGTGGTGTACCGATATGGCGGCATGGCCAGCGATTTGGATGTATTTTATCTTCCACAAATCCGTTGTAAGTGGACAAACCTTTTACCATATATAGTAAACCTATATGACTGGCTGTAGCTTTAAGGAAACTACCACTACTGTTTTGGGGTGATCCGTGATCCAACGTGCGGCCAGTTATGCCCAGTAACGCGGATAGCTACCGATGTTTCATTATATGTTTGGAATTTGTTACCCTTTGAGTGTTTGTGCAGGTTTAACAAATAATATATTGGTTAAGTCTTTAATTCAATAAAGTACGAGCATACCAAGTGCTTTGCGTCCTTCATTTACAGCTTTGGTGAAAGAATGGAGAGATGGTAAATACGACTGCCTACTATCCCGCGAGGACCGCATAATGAACAGTGGATTCTTCGCATGCCGAAAAGGACATCCCTACATCCGGGACGTACTGAAGCGCTATCGCTACGATTATCAAACCGCTTGGCTGCACAATAGCGGCAGTGTCCCTTTAGAAATTTACAGCAAGAATGAACTGTATCACAAAACTCTGTACGTAGATACCCAAATGTCCAATCACTCCAAATACTACACTGGACCTGTGCCGTACAAGAACATCCCCGCGTGGCACTACTACGACCACGGTTGCGAAGGCACAGAGAGCAGTACAAGAAATAAAGCTGTGAATTCTTCCTTCTGGGAGATGCTGCATTTCATACAAGCCGAAGCCTGGCAAGTTTTTCGATTTGCAACGAGCCCCTCGACAAGGACAACGAGGATGCTGGCCACGAACCCGGTTGGAACGAGCACGTCTTACAGTAAACCTACTTCGGAGCCTACTGCAACAACCCTTGGACTAACGACAATGACGACAACTATAGCAGCAAAATCAAATTAAAAATTTCAAAGAGGTATTTAAGAGCAGAAACAACGTGCTTATGGGATGATCTACAGCAGCTGTTACAGATTGTCTTTGAATCCAATATTACTGGATCCTGATTCTGATGTAACAGCCATGTTTTGATGAAATCATGAAATCGTGTGCATAAGTACTAACACCATAGCAGAATTAACAGAGTGGCACTTTTTTGGAATGTAGCCTTAAAGTCCCTACACCGACCTTATTTGTTAGTCAGTCTAAAAGTCTTAACTGCAGTTGACGCTCCTTCATCGACATTTTCTTCTCAAGTTAAAGTGTACAAGTTTGTCCGGTAATTTCTGTCGTAGCTAGCGCGAAATTTGCGCTTAAAACGATGGCCGCGTCACTACGCTTATCGGATTGCTTAATTGCGCTCCGCAGTTAGATTGTCCATTACTACACCGACCGTTTTTTAGTCACCTTGCGCCAGGCAGTTACCGTTATTTTCATTAAATTATCTGGCGAGCACCAAGCCACCAGCCAGCCAGATGCATGTTACGTATTTAAGCAGTGTGGCATGGCACGCCGTAACATGGAGTTTGGCGTAACACGCAAATTTATATAAGTATTTCGCTGTCTTGAACGGGCAGAAATTACAGGACAAGCTTGTACTCCGAACGAAGTTTTTAAAAATAATAGGTTACTAACATAGGCTTTCTGGTGCAGTTGAGACACCGGCGCAAAACAGTCACAGTTTATCTTGAACAGCAAATTTCGCTTAGCAGGTCCAGTAAACCATCCACAAAATAATTTGTAGCATCAAGTTGAATTTGATTTTCGAGATGACCATACAGTAATAAAGTACCCTCGCAGTTGTGGTACAATAACCAAAGAAAGAAGTTGTATGCATATATTGTTCTACCGATTCTCATTTATATCCTTCCCGATCTGTCCAGCGACAGAAATCGAGTAATTAATGTAGCTGCTGTCATTGTAGAAAAGACTGGATATTGTTCAGCATACTTTCTGCAGTTTTGATACTCCCATTAGTCCCGTGAGGTGTGACCCTGTTGCCTGCTTCGTTTCTTTAAGTTTTTGATATTTGCTGCAACCGCTCTTCTGCAATATCGGCCAAAATAGCGGGAGCAACTTGAATTCTGAAGTCCATTCTTGGTACAGTTTTTCGGTTGGACATTCGAAAAACGGTCCGAATAATGTACAGGCAGTATCCACCATGGACGTCAAGATGGGATGGCCCCTCAAAGGATGGCCCCCGGCCAACGAAATTAAAAAGTAGCTAATACAACAAAGTCAAAATCCAGTGTAATTGTATTCAAAGACAATCAGCTGTGCGGATAAGTGGCGACCACGATTGCCGGTTCTCCCGCACTATAGAACGGTGATTCGGGCGTCTCGGTCAGTCTGATAGAAGCCCAGGAAAAGAAGAGCGTTGGGTGCTGGTTACTTACGGGATTGACGTTGGAGGCCTTCCGGGCCAGCACTTTCGACAGGCTCGATGAAAGCGGTGTTGTTTGTTCTCCGGGAATCTTGTGCCAACTACCACGCCCATGCATGCCCGTTGCCATCCCACTTAGTGCGCATCTGCTAGCGTCTGGCATCACCGGTGACCACGGAATGGCGTTGTTTTGGAATCCCCATGGAGGTGAAACAGCAGTGCAAAGATTGCGCGTACAGCGTACCCATGCACAACGAAAGCGATTATCGTGGCATATCTTCCCGCGTGAGGATTTACACGGAAGTGCCAGCATGTATTGTAGATACCGTTATCTATTTATTTTTATTAACCGTCCAAGAAACATATCGGTAACATCTCGTAACCGGGAAAATACAGTAATTTTGGCCAACCTTGTAATTGGTGGGTTTGTGTGTTTAGTGATAATACAATTGTGATGTACTGACCTAGCAACTATTATTGTTGTACTATTATTACATATCTACAGTACTCTATTGATTATTTGCGATATTAATGAATCAGTTGTTCTATGATCAGTCTGGAAGAAACGTCGTATTTCAATACGTGACAACAATTATTCTTTAAATATTTTTGGTAAACTTTTGCAATAAAGTGTAACTACAGATACAGTATTTGTAATGGAACCATGCGCGCGTTGCCGATAATGCATCTATTCTGAGACGGAAAGTTGTGATATCGGATAAATCGCAAAGTGCTTAAATCCTACACTTAAAGATTTTTGCTCTTTCGGGTTTTAAGCATGTATGTGCAGTGGGATCAATAGTAAAGTTTATTGTTCTTGCAGAGGAGCGGTTGCTCCATCTAGCCTTCCGACAGCAGAACCACATACAGTAGCGAATGACAAATATATCGAGTTATCAGCTAGGCAGCCGTAGATTCTTGTGGATATCTTGTATGAGTTGTATCTACAGCCGTAGATATCTTGTTGCATGCATTTGTAGTGCCGCCAGATCATTAGTAGTACCGCCGAATCAAGTCGATACTGTAACGCTTGTACGTTACCATCGGCACATTCTGTGTGTATACGTGTATATTCATACGAGTACAGCTAATGGTTATTCCTGTTTTCCTATTTGTGCATCTTCTGAGCAAAGGTGTGGACATTCACTAGAATCGCCTTTGGGCATTTCCTGAACATTTCTTAGTGTGCATGTGTTGAGCTGGTCACTGGTCAGAGGAAGCTTTACTCACTTCCAACTTTCCGACTTTCCGAATTGCAATTTCCGAATAAATACGAGTACAACTGAGAATTCGCCGTTCGATTGCATAACGATTCATACAGTTAGTAGCCATTACGCTACATTTGGTGCCGAGCCCCGCTTGACACGACGTTGACCTTTACCGTGCAGCGACGTTTGTTACGACGACGCATTGCGTCCCATCCCGAACTGCCGCCTACGCATCTTTTGCCAATCGCTCTCCCCAAACCCTCGCTTTCCCACTTCTGCATCCGGCCTGATCATCCGGATCCTCCTCTCCCCTGCATCTCCCACTTTCCGGCTCTAGCGGCGCACGTTCGACGTTTTCACCGACCACAGCCGTCAGGTAAGTACAAATTGCACCATAAAATCTCTCAAAAAAAACTAACGCATCGGAATTCGAGGAAGTCATATTTATATATCACTTATCTACAAGTTGCATACCCGTTATACACCGTAATTAATACGCTTAGTGTCACTACTTTTACTCTTATTTGTTATTATCATATCTACTACGTACATACTACTGCATATTCAATAATAACTTTATCTCTATTGATACAATATTAAAGTACTACTGTTACCGGCATAACAATTACTACGAGTATACATTACAATAGTATTATTATTCAGGTGATATAATCTCTCTACTTACTTACCACTTAGTTTCTGAACAAAATAAAGAAAAAAGTCTTTTGCGATTAGTTGCACCTGTGTTCCGACTGCGCTGTGCCGTACTAGTAAAAAACGTGTGTTGTTGCTGACCTTCAATATTAGTTAATTCGTTTGCTAACTTTACAATCTTAGCACTACTAATCGGTACTAATACTTACATAGTACTTATTTAATACATAACTTATATACTTTTTCATCTAATTATAAAGCGAACTCTCCAGTTACCAGACTAACGTTGCCCTTAAACAGTATTCGTGAATTATTACTCTAAATTGTACACGATTACTTTGTGCTTTGTATATGCCAAGTACTCCAGTGTGATATTGCATACTCCACTGTGCATTGAGAATAATTCACTGTTATTTACATGTATGGGCGTATAAACGGCAGCTATCTGTCACTTGCACACTTAATTTCAATCAACGCATTACAACTAAATAAATTCACAAACGACACAAAAACATTTCTTTTCTTAGTGTTTCAAGCAAGAATACATAGTCTGTATCAACTTTGGTGACTTTTAAGCAGGACTTAGTCGGCCGCACCCCGGCCGGTTCAGGCACATTCCGCATAAATAATTAGTGGCACGGCTTGATTGCACTTTTTGCATTTCGTCTTTATAATTGCACCTGCTCAGGGTCGTTAGCATTTTTCCCATCAAGATATCTTCCCATTATCTAGCTATTATCCACCTGCGTCCAGTTCGACCGCTCACTTAATACCATCATAAAATCTTCAGAGGCAGTCGTTTCCCATGTCATAAATCTTCTAGACTACTGTATACTTTTCTTTGCCCTGTTATTACCTCTCCAATACTTCCCTGGTCTTTTCCCTTTTAATAATTTTTGTCAATTAGCATTCCTTGCATATATTAGGTAGTAATAGCAGTACTCACAGATCTACTGAAGGCATCCCAGCCGTCAGGATACTTAGATTTTCCCAGGCATAGAAGCATCATTAACGTCAGTTATTACATTTTTGTGCATCATACAGTCCTTCAGCGCTATCAATAGCAATTATACGAGGTATCCGGTTTGACCCAAGTTCAATCGCTTTTAATAGCCGCGCAATACCCACCGGTGTTCCCTACACAAGCGCTCCGGTGTGCTGATCAACGCGCCTAGTTTATGCCGCATTTCCGCGGCGTTCACGCTGATCTAGCTTACAGGGTTGGGTTTTCCGTGCTCCGTAGGTCGGCTTACTATAGGCGTGTAAACTACGTTTACCAGCAGGCGTACATAGTAAGTATCGGAAAAAAATAATTTTTACAATCAAAAAATAAATCAGACTTCAAATAGACGGCCTCCACGAGCCGGGTAGCTAAATGATCAGAGATACTCTGAAAGACACTTTTAACAATTTGCGATCATCTTTTCGCAAACGAATGGAAGAAATCGAGAATCAAGATCGCCGCGAACGGTCGGTTGATCCGGATCAGCATCGTGCGCCTACGCCGCATCCTACATCAAACGACAGAGTGCGCGTCTATAGTCGGGCCGGCCTGCCGGGTGATGATCACCCCATCTCTGCAGGCCGGATTGGTGCGGTGCGCTACGCCGATGTTGTAGAGATTGACGCGTTGACCCGCGCGCTTGAGCGTACGGGCCTGGGAACAACGGTAGAAATTCCACGATTTGGTGGAAAGGCAGGCGAAAATGTTACTGCTTGGCTTGA